ATGGATATGCCTCTGGTTCAAGGCAGGCTGCAAAGCTATGCCTGCCAGCCTCCTCCCCACACAGCACAGGCAGCAGCTGGGGTCTTTCTCTCCCCCCTTTCTCTCACCTCCTGCTATGTACTGATCTTGGCTGCTGTATCCCTGCACAGGTTTTGTTCTGCTGGTGCCTCAGAGATGGCTTGGGCTCCAGGTTGTGTCTCTTCAGACTGTGAGCCCATTACAAATTAGTACAATATCATATCTAAAAGGGTAGAAGTAAATTTGCGCTTTCAATTTTCAGGCCATAAGGGGCTGATGCTTCATTACCTAGAGTCTGGCATCAGGCACAAAAGTTGGCTGGTGTCCAAAGGAATATCTGTGGGAGTAGTTTTGGATTATAGGATTCTCAGCCAGATCTTAATTTGCTTTTTACCTTGTGCCAGATAGGGAATCTCTGTGAGGAGCAGACATTGGAAACTGTTTCTACCTGGGCCCAGGGAGTGGGCATATGTCATGGGGTGACTTTATGATGTCTGTATCCCCAGTCGTCTGGTTTATGTTACATATAAGTTCTGCACCTTTAAGACTGGCTCTGAGAGTGAAGCGGGGAAGAAGAAGCCGCACTTTGTGTTGAGGAAAAACATCACTCCCACACATCCCGCTCCTGGACGGTGCTGTCTGCAGCACAAACACACTGCAGGACAGGGCTTTCCTTTGCTTTTCGTTAGTTTTAGCTAGCTGAGGCAGAGAAGTCCCTGGACTGGTTTTCTTTTTCTTGGATCTGTTCAAACCTGCTCTGGACTGAAAACCCAGACACATACCGGGATCTCACACCTGTGGTCCATCAAGCCCTGGGTCTCGGCACTTTCCAGCATCAGAGGGACTGATAAGAGACTGAGCGAGCCCAGCTACACCCCACAACAAGGACTTTTCTGGATGTGCCATCTCTTTGAACAGCAAGAGGTTTTATTGTTTAACATTACTCAATTTCTATTAAATAAACAGGTTCTTTCCACTTTTCTCTAAGGAAATATTTTCCCGAACCAGTTGAGGGAGGGGCCGCTTGAATTTGCTTTCTGGAGGGACCCCATTCAGAGGTTTTCTCCCAAATTTGCCCTAGACCAGGACAGCATATTAAATTTCCATATTCAGGATGACCTCCTGACTGTGTGATAGCAACAGAGACCAGGGGAGATGCAGCTTCTCTTCCTCAGCTTTCCCATTCTCTTGTCTCAGTTTTCTTCATCACCCTGTCCCCTTCTCCTTCCTCCTTAGTGTCTGCATGACAGTGATCCATATGGCTTTAACAGAATATCATTAACCTGCAGCACTACGGAATGCTGGTGCTTTCTTAAAAACCTGCCACTTTCTATTTTTATGGTCTGTGAAGTACAGGCAGCTCAGACCAAGCTGAGGGGCTGACCTGCTGCTATGTACTGATCTTGGCTGCTGTATCCTGCACAGGTTTTGTTCTGCTGGTGCTTCAGAGATGGCTTGGGCTCCAGGTTGTGTCTCTTCAGACTGTGAGCCCATTACAAATTCATACAGTATCACATACAAAAGGGTAGAAGTAAATTTGCACTTTCAATTTTCAGATATACATATGGAAACAAGGATGCCTTTGAAACTTGAAAAAGAGAATGGGGGTTTGCTCTGTTTCTGTATTTCAAATTCTCTTCTTGCCCCACCCTCATCTATTTTTTGTCCTGCTTTCACAAGTGCTGCAAGAAATGAGCTAAGTTTTCTTTAAAACACAACAAATATGATGTGGCACAGCACGAGTGTGCTTGTGCTCTATGATGTGGCACAGCACGAGTGTGCTTGTGCTCTCCTTCCACCACACTGTAACTTCAACTTGTTCACATGGCTTTTTAAGCAAGAGTATGATAATAGCTTTTATCATATGAAAAACAAGGACTCTCCATTTTTGTCTCAGTCTAGGTTGCATTTTCCTTTTTTAGTGGCTGGATAAGCAAATATTTGCTGCATTTATTTCATGTGGTTGCTTTCTGCTCAGTGTTTATGTTATCTCTTTATGTAGTACTATGCCATGTAAATTTGGATGGAGAGGGTGTAGATTTTTATATTGCAGGCTGGTTGCAAACCTTCCTAGCATTTAGCAGCTGTTTTTCTGGCAGCCAGTTTAATCACGTGTCCATGTAAAGGAAAGCACACGTGATTATATTTGTAAACTGCCTTTTTGTGATTATCAAGATAAGTTATTTCACCTCAGAATTAAAAAAAAAAAAAAAAAAAAAAAAAAAAAAAAAAAAAAAAGTCTTAAAAACTGTGGAATCCAGCTGAACACCTAACTTTCCACACTCCAGGAATGCTAAAATTAAACAAATTAAATAAAAAAATAAACCTTTAAACCTTCTCAAATCACCAAGTTTCATCTTAAAAGGCTCCTCAAATATCTAAAGCTCAAAGCATGTATATTGTACCTTTGTGACTGAAAACCTTTGGGGGTTTTGCAGCAGTTCTTAACTTTTGTACTCCTGAAACAGAGGAACATAAGACATAGTATCAGATTTTGAGATTTTATATATTCTCTAGTGAAAGTTGCTTATGTAACTTAAATGTGTACCATCCTCCTGACTCTGAGAACTTGCCACATTTACGGAGCATGATTGGGCTCTGAAAATCAGGCTTTTCCATATTGGCTGTTTATATGTCTAAAGTATGTTTAATTTAAAAAAAAAAAAAAAGGGAAGATAATTAAATGGACAAGTGGCTGCTTAAGTTTGAATGGATCTCATAATTTGCTGCTATTTATTTATTTCATGACCTGACCGTTTATAGGCAAGTACAAAAAGAGCTTGTTTTTTTTTTTCTTTCTCCGGCTGCAACATAATGATGTGGCATACAATAAAAGCAGCATTTCCACTGCATACAAGGAGCAGAGGAGGGAGCCCCAGAAGCCCTTCTGTGTGCAGGGCTCAGCTGTCATGGAAGCAAGAGAGGATGTGAATTAACTTTGTTATTCTCTCCCTTATGGTCTCAACTTGACCTGGCTTATCCTCTATAAGGAGCGGCTGTTATAGTAGGATGTCACTTCAGCCCCTGTTCACAGTGTTTGCTGTTTATTTCAGAGACACAAGGACAAATAATTTTAGGGTAACTGGCTAAGGCTTCTGGTGAAATTGTATTTCCATACAAATTCCCAGTTAAATTTTTCAGTGCCGGATTCTGCTATTGTCTTACACCAGTTTCTGCAGTCTTGGGTTGGAACGCTTTTTCTGACTTTATTCAACATGGGAAAGCATAGGTTATCTTAGTAGTGTTCATACCTGCCTTGGAAAAATCTCTTTTTCCAAGGTTCCCTGTTTCTACATTCAGTACATCAATACATTGCAATGAAGGACCAGAAGCTGCCCAGGATCACAAAGCAGCACCTTTGTCAGTTTTGAAATACCTACCAAAGTGTATTACAGGGATTCTTGTAAGTACTGTCTTGCTAGTATCCTTCTCTCAGAAGGATGGAGTCACTGCTGGTTTTACTGCTCTTCTTTTGAGGCACTGGAGTTAGTCACTGTGTGGACAGGCCGGAAGCTTAGACATTGTGACCTAAGAGAACAACATGCATGAAATCCTTTGAAGGTTAAAAGTTCTGTATATGTGGTTTTCCCCATTAGTGAGTGTGAAAGGTTTTCAATGCTGTCCTTGCCTATCTGTAAAAGCATGTGATATAATTTCTTCCGTTTATCAGGATTGTTGGTTTTGCTTTTTCCAGCTCACCTTCCTGCTTTTGTAATGGCTGCTGCTCCCAATGCAGCTTGCATCTGCTTTCTACTGTCTGCTGTCTTACAGTTCTAAACTGACTTCAGCCTTGAGCAGAGCCAAAAGCAAAGCAGATCCTGGCCACAGAACAATATTGCCACATGGACCATCTTTGAAATAACAACTTTGGTTTCTTCCTTTGCTTAACAGCTTCTGTTTCAGACCCTTTTTGACCCAGTTCTCACATAGCTTGAGAACTCATTGCTCACTTTGTGTCTGCAATATGGCTCACTCTGTTCAGTGATTTCCACTTGACCTTTCCAGTTTAACTTGATTCTTTGCCATCAGCCAGCCAAAGGGAAGGCATTGAGTGTATTTAAGGCGTCAGGTTGCTAATGTGGGCACTGTTTGGCCATCATCCCTGCAGGAGCGTGAGGAATGATGGGAGGATGTACAGCTTACTGGTAGAAGGCCATGCATTTCAGAGCTTGAAGGCTTTGCATAGGAGAGCCTGTGCCAGGGAATATTAAATATTATTCCATGTTCATAAATAAAGGCAGATCATGCTAATTTTTTTCTGTCTTCCCTTTCAATTGTTACCCAGGGAACTCCTAAAGAGGGGCATGCAATTTTGCAAATACTCAGTCTCTTTGGTAAGTAACTATACGGTGTACATATTTGATCTTTTTGATTATGATACTTGTTTAGACTGTATATCTTCTTTCATGTCCAGGAGACTGAGTCTGTGTTATTGCTTAGACGATAATAATTAATTTTCATTTAAAGCAAATTTCATTTTTTTCCCTTAGAACATGATTATTTCATAAAGTAAAATAGCTCACTAGATGCAGTGAGAACTGTGTGGCTTAAAGAAGCAATTGTGGAAGCTAAACTTTTTATTTCTGAGATTCTGACTCAATTCCCATTCACATATTAGTGAGCAATGCTGCCATCCAACAGCTGCCTGCAGCTCATATCAAAATGAGATGGCTGCTTAAGACCAGTCCTAGAGACTGTAGGGAACTAAAGGAAAGGAAAAAAAAAAAGTAAGACCCTCTAATCTCTAATGCAAGTTGGGACCCTGTGGGCACCCTTTGGCTAAGAGCCAAGAGCAGAGACAGGAGATGCATACAGAGCATCTGCTTCGAAAAACTCCTGATCTTAGTGAGTAAACTCAGCCCGTCCTTCACAGGTCAGGATGTGACTCATACTCCAAGGTACTTTGTGGCAGGAATGACCTGACTAGCCAAATGGTAATCCTAAAATGTGGGAGGAACTAGGTGCTTTCTGTTAGCTGAGAGATTACAGAAGAAAGCAATTTTTCTCCAAAAGCCAGCACCAGTAAGCTGCCAACAGATGCATCTCCCGACTCCAAATGCCCCATCTGCCTGGATAGATTTGACAACGTTGCATATCTAGATCGCTGCTTGCACAGGTTCTGCTTCTACTGTGTCCAGGAATGGTCAAAAAACAAAGCAGAGTGCCCACTCTGCAAGCAGCCCTTTTTTTCCATTTTCCATACGATTCGTGCTGAAGATGACTTCAAGGAGTACATCCTCAGCCCTTTAGAAACTAGCTCCTTTGCCAGCCCCGATGGCCGGAGATTTCGTTACCGCACTACCTTAACGCGGGAGCGCCGCGCGCGCAGTTCCCCTTCCCGGCGGATGCTGTCCCCTCCAGATAACGGGATGCTGTTTGAAGGGTTGTCGAGTGAGCCGCCGCGCCGGAGACACAGAGAGATTCAGCAGATGATCAGGAGGCTGGCCTCAAGGAGAAAGGCCAGCGCAGAGGGCAGATCTCTGCGACAGATCCAGGAGGAGGACATGATCAGCTTCCGCAGGGCTCTGTACCGCACCGGCGTGCGCATCCGCAGCATTCAGGACGGTGGCCGCTATCGAGAGATTTCGGCAGAGTTCTTCCGCCGCAACCCTGCTTGCCTGCACCGCTTGGTTCCTTGGCTGAAGAGGGAACTTACAGTCCTGTTTGGTGCCCACGGATCTCTGATCAATATTGTGCAGCACATAATCATGAGTAACGTAACTAGGTACGATCTGGAAAGTCAGGCCTTTGCTGATGATTTAAAGCCATTTTTGCTGAATCGGACTGAACACTTCCTGCATGAATTCATCAGTTTTGCTCGTTGTCCTTTTAACTTAGAAGCATATGATCAGCATGCCAATTATGACTGTCCTGCACCATCGTACGAGGAAGGAAGCCACTCAGACTCCTCGATTATTACAATATCTCCGGATGTGGTGTACCCACAAGGGCCAGATACTAGTCTGTCTGTACCTGGTCTTGGCCAGGCTCCCTGGGATGATGAAACTCCAGGGCCTTCCTATTCCATTTCAGAAGAGGTTCGTGCAACCATAGCTTCTCCTCTGGAGTCCTCAGAAAGTTCTGATGAGGACTCTGCTTCAGGGAGTCGGAGAACCAAACTGCAAACTGGCTTACAGGCTCATGCTGACTCAAACGACAGTGGCTCTTCCTCAGACAATTGTGTCATTGTTGGGTATGTTAAGCCATTAGCTGAGAGAACCCCAGAAGTGGTTGAGCTGTCCTCTGACTCTGAGGAGTCCATCAAGGAAGAGAAAAGGGAAGATGTCAAGAAACAGCTACCAGTCCAGTGTCACAGCTGGAGTGACAGTGAACCAAGTAGGAGCTTCTCACCCCATTCCCAAGATACAGGGAGGATGTAGGAAGTTGCAGAAGATAGATACAGTGAAACTAAAAGACCATGTGAGCTTGTCTTTAGAGCTTAACTTCAAAGCTTGCCTGTCATCCGAGTATTGCCAATTTCATACCTTGATTTATGTTACTAAAAAGCTGCCTATGCCTGCCAGGAGATAATAAGAATAAGACTGGAATGACTGGACTGGGCAACGCACAGAAAATACTCAGAAATGCCTGAATTCCAGGAAACGGAAGCTCCTCTGTGAAAATGTCTTTTCAATCAATTGTAATTACAGCTGTCCACTGATAACCTCAGGGCCAGGTTGATGAGATATTAGATTAATGCCATCAGGTGTGCTGGACTTCACAGTCAGACTGATTTAATGAGTTGCCTCAAAAGGTGTTATAACGGATGTGAGTTAATCTCCTCACTGCATGACTGACTGGATCTCATTGTTCAAAATCAAGTTGCCTAATCTGGCAGACAGTGCAGCCTGGAACATCAGCTCAGCAAGCAAGGCTAAACCATTGGAAAGTGTCTTTTCTAAAGGCAGAGGTGTGGTTCTACCTTGACATGGTGCCAGAGACCCAGACTTGTTCACCACCACCAAGGCACCACACCAAGAATGGGACACACCAGGAGCAGGATGACCTGGAGTGGAGCTTAGAGCTATTGCTTGACAGCATGTCCTGATAGTTAGAGCTGAGTGCGGAGGCAAGGATTGAGGAGGAGGCTCTTTGTATGGGTTTCAGAAACTGGTTTATTGTCTGAAGGGGTCAGGGACAAATAGCAAAAATCAAAGGGGTATAGGGAATTATATATAGGGGCAGTTCAGGGGGTGGTTACAAATTCTTGACCAATAGGGAAAACTCAGGGGAGGATCAGAGGGTGAGATTCACTGAGTTCCAACAAATGGGAAAACACAAAGAGGGGACACAAACTAACGAGCAGATGAACAATCCACTGGGGTATTGTGGTTTAGAGGAATTCCAAAGGGGAGGTCCAAGCCAGGGGTTCATACAAGGCAGGATTGACAGGAACTCACTGGAGCAGGTGCAGGGATCAGAGTGGATTGACACTCAAGGGGGAAAGCTTAACATAGGACTGACACCCCAGGGGGGAGGGACAGAGAACATTCTGGGCGAGGAGGCAGGGCTGTAACACGGATTTGCGGACGACTGGGGGGGTACAGCTTGGGGGAAACCAACTGAACTGAAGGGTGACAGAGCATACTAAGAGAACATAATATGTACAACACAAAGAACACAGATTCACTGCAACACTATCCAATGCTTAAATACTATTTTATTAATACTTTAATTCATGAGTTAAAGTTATGAGTTATGAATATCAGGGAAACAGCTCTTTAATATTCGCAGCTTTATTGGAAACAGTCGGGGAAGAAGGCCCATGGTATGCACACACCACCGCTGCTCCCAAGATGGTGTGGAGGAGGAGGACGTCAGCTCCATCATCCGGCAGGTCTGGGTCTCCTGTCTAGTGGGAGTTTCTAGCTAGACACTTTAGATTCATGGTCTCTATGGCACTCTTGGCTCTTAGGGTGGTGAAGCTGAGAAGTTTTGACCAGAGCCTTGATGTTGTCCCATGTCTCTTCTGGTCAGAGGTGTTACTCCAGTTCTTTATTTGCACAGTGGCTCATTGTTTTAGGGGTCCTTGCTAGGTAATTCTTTCCCTGCTAAGTCTTATGGGAGTCCCATATTTATATATTAGGTGATGTAATCTCCTTCTCTATAGTCTTAGGTAGTTCACCATCTTGGATGAACGTGGAGCGGCAGGGGCAATAGCCAGTGGTAAGGGAGTTAACACTGGAGCAACAATTCATAACTGATCATTGAAACTTGATTTACCTAACAATTCATTACTAACACTGGAACTTTTTAACAACTCCTTAACTATTTATTCTTTACTATTCCCCCCTGTTCTTCTTTGATCAGGCTCAAACCTGCATCAATTAGCAATTACTTCTTCTTGAAATTACATTTTCTTAATTTTTGATATTGGTTGTAAATTTGCTTGGCATCTTGATGTTCTTGATCATTTATTACCATGATTTATTTCCTTTCTATTAAGCCCCTTTGGTATTGTTAGGCTTGCTTGTACAGCAGATGTTACAACTCAAATTATACAGGGGAGTATGCAGGGTAGGAGGATTAGACTAGTAATTATACACAAGACAAAAAAAGTTATTTTCTCCTACCAGTTCCCTTTTAATGACCAGAAATTATCCCACCAGCTAGTATCGAACATAGGGGTCCACTTCTCTAGCTCCAACATGGGCTAGCTTCTGGATGTCTTTTGAAATATTTTTAATGACTTCACTTCAGTCATCTATTTCTAGGCAGCATTCAGAGGAGTTGAATTTTCTACATATGCCCCCTTCATTGGCTAATAAATAATCTGCTAACCTGATTTGATACACTACAGTTCTAGTCTGGGATAGTTTGTCACTTACATGGGCTAAAGCTAGGGAAGTCTTGGTTTGATACCATTTTGAGTACTGTCTGCAATCTTATAATCCAGTTTAATAAATAAATTTGGGTTCAGTATCCCCAGGACCCATCTTGAGCCCAGGTTGCTGGCCCATAAGCGTGAATTATCTCTTGGAGGGTCCACATTTTGTTTTTCCATCTTTGCATTCCTCTGGCACTGTTGGACATGATGTAGAAGTGTGGGTTCAATGCAGCACACCAGAATGAGTTTCTAGGGAAAGGGGCCTTTATTCTCTGAACTTTTCAGCTTTTATAGGGTCTTACGCTACAGGTTTGTTTTACATGATTGGTCAAGGGAACACCACCTCTTGTCCCATTGCTGGGACAAGAAAAAAACACACTATCTGCAGTTTTACAGAACTGTTTTGAGAAAGTAAAATGGTTTACAAGTATCATCCTTGAGCAAGAGAGCTCCCAAGAAACTTTCCCTTGGGAACAGATCAGCCATTGACAGGCTGTAATTCTCTCTGGCTCAGAGAAAACCGGGCCCACATTCCTCCAATTTCAATTAAGTTTCATTTTCATCAGCCAGGTTTGTCTAAATCATCATGTATTGGGACCCCCTAGGTTTGATCCAGACTCTTTTGAAGGTAGGGAATACGATGGTTTAATAATCCCGATAGTACAACTGCCAGTCCAATCTCCCGTCAATTTAGTGTAAGGCACATTCCCGGATATCCAAAACAGGTGTTCTCAAGCTTCCCAAAAGATGTCACTGAGAGTCATTGGAAACTCCCAGTACTTGTATACCTCTCTCACTCCCCAAAATGGATTTATTCTCTTTCTGGCACATTAATGTAATTTATATCTTTCCTGGTAGATACACCCAGTTTCTGTCCTCTCAATGGACCAGTATCTATTGGGTTATTTAGGGATCCACCTTAAAATAGGATGCTTTACTTTTAAGTATCTCTTTTACAGAACATTTCCCCTACCAGGGTTTTATACATTTCCCCCTTTCATAGATACACACTCTTTTCCAATTATTTTAGACTTTAATTCCCACCATTCTTTTCCCCTCTGTCCAATAGTTGGTACCTTCTGTCTTCTTTGTACCCATTCTAAGATTTCTATTGGTCCCAAGCTGATCCCTTCCCAAGGCCAGACTTCAGCCATGTGGGTATTCCCACAGATCCAACAATCCGTTAAATTTAATTTTTACTGATCTTTTCTACTAAATTGATTAACAACTTTTTCTCACGAGATGCTTCTAGGTTTTCTCTCTCATTCATTGATGTTATTATTTTCTTTTACCAAGTCTGATACACCTTTGAACTTCAAACTTATTTTCAAAGCAAAGCCAAGCATCTCCTATAGGACACTCCCCAAGTAATGAATGCCAGTAAGTGGTTATGTTTCATAAAATCCAGTAAGTCTTCCTGTCCTCTTAACAGGTTGCTAACAGAGAGAGGTTGACATAGTTTTAGTTTAAATTAGTATGTACTCATATTAGAGATCTTTGACAAGTAGGATCAGTAAGAGCATTCTCAGCAGTCTGGTATGAGGCATTCCTCCATACTCTGTGACCACTGTGTTGTATCTAGTGATTGGAGTGGTTATTTTTAAGTGGAATGTTTGCTCACCCAGCCTTGCCTCCTGATTATGTTTCCCTCCTACAGAAGACCCCACTGGTTTTAGTACAGGGTCTTTTATTCTCTTAGTGCCAATACTCTCTACTTTTTCCCTACCAATTTACTTTTTGCCCTAAGGGGTGTTCTATAGGAGATTGATTTACACTAAGATTGGAGTCAATCAGGTGGAGAAAGAGGAACACAAACCTCTTTAACACAAGGAACCTTTTAACACAAAAATATGCATTGCTACAATTTTCAACAATCTTTAACACTTTGTTTGTTTGTTTGTTTGTTTGTTTTAGCTATAAACAGTCTTTAACAGTCTTTAGGTTTCCTCTGGAGGATTAGCTTTAGATCATTTGAGTACTTGGCCACAGTCTACTTGTTAGAAGATTCAGTAGGTGATGTGGCTGGTTCTGACTCTTCAGTGGGAGGTGGCACAGGTCCTTTAATCCAGGTTATATGTGACCACCCCTTCTCCTGGGTCTGTATGGCTTATTGGTGGTGAGCAGGACCTGAAGAGGGCCTTCGAACTTAGAAGTTAAAGCTGCAGTGTTCTGTGGTTTAACTAATACCCAGTCTTCTGGATCAATGTTATGTACCTTAGTGTCTGAGGGAGAGGTTTGGGGAAGATAACCTTTCTTCCTGAGATCTTCTAATGTATGCCCTATGGCCTTTAGGTATTTTGGGGTGGCTGCCTCCTCTCCTGGATAAATTCCAGTGCTATATGGGGTTATCAAGAAGGGGAGTCCAAACATAACTGTATAAGGTGACACTCTGATATCTGATAGGGCCCTTGTTCTTCTTCCTAACAGTGATAAGAGTAGACACTTAAGCTAATCCATCTGGGTTTCTGCAACTAATTTAGTTAACATGTTCTTGATGGTTTTATTCATTCTTTCTACTCTTCCGGAGCTCTCGGGATGACATGGGTTATTCAA